AATCAAATCAATCAATCATTCATTCATTCATTCATTCATTTATTCATTCATTTATTCAGTCAGTCAGTCAGTCAGTCAGTCAGTCAGTCAGTCAGTCAGTCAGTCAGTCAGTCAGTCAGTCAGTCAATCAATCAATCAATCAATCAATCAATCAATCAATCAATCGATCGATCGATCAATCATTTAATCTTATTTTTCAATTTTTAGAGAGCTAGTTAACACTTCACTAGTAAGCGCATCAAATCACTTGGGTGCAATAATTAAACCTTAACCATTTTCAAGAAATTTGTTTAACAACAATATTATTTCAGTACATCTTTTGGACATATATGAAGCAGAAAAAAGAGTTAACTTTTGTTATATGTGAACATTATTATGATATTTTTATATCATAAAAACAAATAAGATTTTAAATCAATTTAAAAAGGTGTAGTAATATCAACATCTTTCTAAAAAAGACTCCGTTTTTTTAAGTTTTGTAAGGGATATACATGTACATGTATATTAAACAGATATATGAAAATATCTTACAACCCAAGTGGTATTTTAGAATTTGTAATTGATTGTTAATGTTGCACACACAAACAAAGAAAATTCTTCAATCTAAGTTAAGGTCGAAGAACAGACTCAATCCAAACGAGCCTGCATCATTTTCGATTTGGGGGGGGGGGGGGTTTCTAGGGATTATGTCTTCCGCTATTTTAAATTATTTTAGAGATTTTATTCCTTTTAGAAAACGGTTGTCTGTCAATTTAAAAAAGAAACCATCACGGAGAAACAAGCAAGTGTCAGTTTTGAGTTTGAATTTGACATTTTTTAACTATCATAAATGAACGATATCAGTGCTAAATAAATCGAACAATGAAAAAACAAATGAATGAAGAAATGAAATTTTCATTATATTGTTTTAACTATAAACCAAATCAGTATGTGTTTTTTACAACCCTTGCATAATTTCGTAAAAAATTAGGTTGATTTTAAATGAAGCAAGTCCATTAAAAACAACGTTGCTGATTGTGAAAAAAGGAAAGAAACACGCTTCCAAGGATAAAAGGTTCACAAACGAACATTTGTAATAAAGTTAAATTAACCCCGTCTGAGAAACGCCGTCTACTACTTAGACTTTATCTGTACTGAAATGTGTGTCTGTTACAGAAAAAAAAAATTGGAGAAGTTCAGAGAGTAAATGCGAACATCCCATTAAAATACTAGTAACATATAAATGAGAATAAGAAAGAAAAAAATGTTAAGGAATTATAAGTCGGAATGACCCGATAGAGACCATGATATAACAAATTATACTAAGGCTTAAAATTTAATCATTTATTAGGTCACTCCTTATTTCCTTCCTTTTTTATTAATTAATTAATTAATTAATTCATTCATTCATTCATTCATTCATCTATCCTCAATCGTTTAACGAAATATAAAAATGTAAAGGTTTAGAAGTGGTCATCTAAAAAGGGCACTGTTTTTATTAGCATTTCAAATATTTGAAAAACAATAGAAAAATATATCGTTTGGACATACTATGAAAATTTTCAGGAAAACAGAATGTTGAAAGAGTTCTTAAGAGATTTAATATGAACATATAGAGTTATATTAATATGATGATGATTAATAATATTTTATAAACTTTATTCTTTGTCACTATAATAGTATCTGCTATATATTTCACCAATTACATCCTTATGTCCTTTTGTGGTATGCTTGCACATCTGTCTCTAGTTCAGAATTATTTTAAGATTTTAAAAACTTCGTTTTAACGTTTTAACTTATTAATTTTTAGCTCACATTTAATAAGACAAATTTTGTTTTACATATGACATTAGTTAATATTTTCGTCAATTTCACCGAATTTATGCATTCATCATCCAGATTTTAGTTCAATACTTTTTTATATTTTTCTAAAAGAAAGAAATCAATATAATAAATCTAAGTAAAATAATGAAGGTTAGTTGCTGGTATATGATAACAAATGTCAAAATATGTCAAAATTACCTTTTCAGTGAGAAACAGGGTAAAAACATGGTTAACATGACTGTATAATTTCAAACATTTTATTCCAGAACACTTTAATCTTATGTTTGTCTACGCAAGATCTTACTTCTATTCTATAAAAGGACAACATGAATAATAATGCTGCGCAAAATTAGAATAAATCCGATTTAAATAATCTGTAAATAATGTTCATAAATTATAAAACAGTTTATCCTCAACACTATAATACCAATTTTTGTTAATTTGAAACAACATTCTAGAATAATAACTAAAGTAACGTGACATTGTCTTTAAAGTTTGTTTTAATGCATTGGAAATTAGTATTGAAAAAAATGTATTGTAATGTATTGCAATGTATTATCACACTATGTATGATTATGATTATGTACTAGGTATAAGTCGAAATAAAATAATGTTCTGTTCTGTTCTGTTCATAAATTATACACTTTAATGTGATTTAGTGTAAAGATTAATAAGATGTTTTTGGTAGAACAATTTATTAACTTATGTCATTAAAACAGATATAAAATATCAGACCATGCCTCTCACACTTACCAACATAATCCATATAATTTTTGTCACGCTGTTAACATAATCATTAATGGTATAACAGACCTTCTAGTATTCAAATAATCTGGGTTTTGACTTTACGTTGTCTATTTTCAGTTTTAAGTCGTCGCGAGAGAGCACTGAAGGATCCAAGACTTGCCTTTTTTGCTGGAAAACCTGGCAGTCCAGGTAAGAATAAATGTTGCTGTTGCTGTTTAATGACAAAGTGCATAATCCTTCCTTAAGATGCAATCGTTTTCATATAAAAGACAAATGGTAAGGCAAGGTATCAGACGAGCAGCCCGTTATTGTGTGGGATTGTTCGTTTAATCTTTTCCGAAGCACACTTGTGTTATCAACACAATATCAGAAATGTTTCATATCAGTAAATCCAGAATGCTTTCTTGGCCATGGTAATAACAAAACTGTCCCTTGTGTTTCACAGAAGTTAAAACTAAGGTTATAACGAGAAAAATAATGAAAAGAAATTGCTTGCGGCCATGCTTTTTTGTAATAATAAAAAAGTTTAGAAATTGATACATTGTATTTTTTCCGTCATTATGTACACTCAGTTTTAAGTTAACAAAAGTGTTGACTTGTTGATCTTGTTCATCATATTTTGTGACCATCGTATTTTGCTCATAATCTATAGATTGTAACTTAAAACTCAGGTGGCATCATCGTTAGAATTTTCCATTGTCATTGTCTAGAACAACATATTACAAATATAGCAAGTAATATGTTAATCGAAACATCATTTTTCTTTTTTATGAAGTAATTCCTTGTAAGTAATGTAATATGACATATTTGTCACACATAGCTATACATATATTTAATTTCACAAGCAGGAAACTGTTGATTGAAGTTATTATAGATAGTATCTAATAAATGTTTTTGCTTTTATAGGGCGTCCTGGTATACCAGGCCGACCAGGCCACATGGGCAAACGAGGTCAAAAAGGTCCAAAAGGTGTCGCTGGACCTCCCGGAATACGTGGACCAATTGGTCCATATGGTCCACCAGGCTGGAAGGGCCCTCCTGGGTTCACAGGTGTTGAGGGGCCAAAGGGCGAAAAGGGAAAAGAAGGATTCAAAGGTAATGCGGGTTATATTGGGGACGTTGGGCTTGTCGGATATATCGGATATGAAGGCCAGATGGGTCCACCAGGTATTATGGGTCATGTCGGCTTTATCGGTATGATAGGCTGGCCAGGTCCACGTGGTGAAAAAGGTGAAGATGGTATTATGGGACCCCCTGGTTATCCAGGACGACCCGGTGTTCCTGGAAGAGTGGGTGTCTATGGGGAACCAGGGCCCATCGGTGAAATTGGAATCACTGGACCACCGGGACATAATGGCTTTGAAGGGGATAAAGGAGAAACTGGTATGTGTGGGGAAACTGGACCATGGGGAGCTGTTGGCCGTCCAGGCCCGGTTTATGATCCATATGCAGGACTGATGGCACCGATGGTTGGTAAATTTGCAGGATTTCATGGAGACGAAAATTGCACAGACCTTGTTGAGGGTGTTTCTAAATGTTTATCTCAAGGACGTAAAAATATTCCGAACAATATTCAATACACCAGTAAGTCTTTGCCAGTCTTCAACCAGCCGCCACCCGGAGCTCATGTTATCCCTGCTGAGCAAGGGCACGGGAAGTCACAAATGCCTCTCGGGCCACATTTTATGAAATCACCTATAGCGTATGGACCACATGTAGGAAAATCACAGATGGCGTTAGGACCTCCTATGTTTGAATCACATGTAGGAAAATCACAGATGGCCTTAGGACCTCCTGTGTATGGAAAACAATATGCTGCAGCGCATGGACACCATATCGACTTTTATGATGAAGAAGACCGAGATATTCTTAATGAACAGGAATTCAACGAGATAGTTAATAAAACAAGTGTTGAAGCTACTGACACAAATATGATAAATATAACCATGACTGAACATCTTGGAACAGTCGATAACGAGAAATCAAATATTTCTGTTAACAATGAAGGTAATATTGAACAAATAACCGTTGAAACAAATGTTGACACTACTACAGAATCAACCAGTCAATCGTTCGAAAAAGACAATAAAAGAAAGGCAACGACAGAAAAAGTGCAATTTCTTCTAGAAGATGTGAAACAGACATCCGGCGCAGATTCTGATAAATCTGACACTAAAGAAGATGAACAAATACAAGATATAGAATTATCTGATTAAGCTATATCTACTATAAATGAACATGTTGTTGATAACCTAATGCAAATACTGTAAACTTGTGTAATAAACATGTTTGGTACATATATTTTTAATTGATATTACCCAGGATGTACGAGGGGTGTCCCAGAATTACGTGGACTTTTGCTGTAACTCAAAAACTACTAAAAATAAAAACAAACAAAATTAACATGAACAAAATGCAACTCTATTGCATTAGTACAAAAAATTTCAAAGATGTCCGGCAACTGGACCAGTGTCTGTGGGCATGGTAATGAGACAAGGGGTAGCGGGTGCGGGGCAGTCCATTCCGACGTTAGGACATCATTCCGGTGGCGTCGCTAGTTGTTAATAAATGCGTGGCGTCAAATGTCAGTTTTTCTCAACATAGTCGCCGCCTATCTCAATACACCTATGGTGTCGATATATCTACTGGTCGTACACTGTAATAATAATAATAATAATAATAAAGCATACTTTTAACTTTTGTTACGATAATAGTGTTAAAGACGACGGTGATAATGCTGACGCCGTATTATTATTATCATTATTATCATTATTATCATTATTATTATTATTATTATTATTATTTTATTATTATTATAATTATTCTTTTTATTATTTTAGTATTTTTATCATTATTATTATTATTATTATTATCATTATTATTATTGTGGAGTTTATTTTGTACGCAAAGACAATGTGCGTTAACAAGGGAAATAACCTTTCATGCGCACTGCTTACTATAGCAGTTTGAGTTCACTTTCTTAAAAGCTGAAGCGGATAATTACGTTTAAAATAATAAATTGTGATTAGCTTAATTTTTAAAAATCATTTTTTTTAACACAGCATTGACCTTGGTGTAACGCCTGTCCCGATCTATGACGTCATTGACTTCCTTAATTGACGCCGCAGTCAACGTTGACTTTCTTCCACGACCCTTGTCGTCTTCAATGTCCTCTCGGCCGTCTCGAAAACGCTTATGCCACTTGAAAACGAGTGATCGACAAACAGGAGGTCTAACTTTTGCAGTCTCCAACATGTCCTGCGTCTGTGTTGGCGTCTTCCAAAGATTAACACAAAACTTGATGATAGTCCGATGTTCCGCGTAATCCGATGACGTCATTTTTTGTTAAATATCCAAGAGCAACGGTTGTCAGTTGTTCGCTGGTAAACAATAACGGAAACGGCTATGGCGTCAAAATTTCAAACGAACGTTCACATGACGTCACTGCATATGCTTACGACGTCGTGCCATTTTTTACGTATAAATACGCAAGATATACAAAAGTAAAGACAACTTATTAATACAAAATATTGGACTGCCCCGCCCTGCGCATACTGCGTTACTATAACGATGTAAAATATAAAGAAGCAATGTTAGAAATTTAAAAATAATGGACATATTCATTTAGGATATGTTAAAGGTATTGTGTACAAATTTGCTAAAAATACATTAAAAAATAAAAAAGTTGAAGCAAAAGTCCACGTAATTCTGGGACACCCCTCGTATCATTATAAAAACCGCCTCCGTGGTCGAGGGGTTCGAGTCGATGACTTGTAATCCAGTTACCTTTCTGGCGTGGGTTCGATCCCCGGGAGATGCTTTGGTAGTTTAGCGCGGAGGAAGGTAGTCTAGTACTGGTGTAACTCTCCAGGAACGATGGTTAGGAAACTACCCGCCTATATGACTGAAATACTGTTGGAAAAAGGCGTAAAATAAAAACAAACAAACAAAAAACAAAATCATTATAAAGACCAGTGTTCAGTTTGATGCTGTATTCGAATTGATGTACTGCTGTAGTACAATCAATAAATCCCATGTTATCTGACAGTGAAAACATAATTTAAAATAATACAAGCTGCTTGTGAACAAGTATTGCTGTCCCTAATCTTCATTAAGTAATAATTATAGTACATGAAACGAGTTAGTTACGAGGGTATAACACTGGCTGGGGCGACATTAAGGGGTGTTTCTGCTAAAAAATGGCCGTTAGGCCGAGACAATTTTTTTTGCAGAAACATCCCGAGATGTCGCCCCAGCCAGTGTTATACCCCCGTAACTAACGAGTTGCATATACTATAACTGTTTTATCGCAATGGCGTAATGTTTTCTTTTTAGCTCACCTGTCACAAAGTGACAGGGTGAGCTTTTGTGATCGCTTTTCGTCCGTCCGTCGTCCGTCCGTAAACTTTTACTTTAAATGACATCTCCTCATAAACCACTAAGCCAATTTCATCCAACTTCACAGGAATGTTCCTTTGGTGGTCACCTTTAAAAATTGTTCAAAGAATTTAATTCCATGTAGAACTCTGGTTGCCATGGCAACCAAAAGAAAAAACTTTAAATATCTTCTTTTAAAAAACATAAGAGCTAGAGCTTAGATATTTGGCATGAAACATCTTTTAGTGAGTGTCTACCAAGTTTGTTCAAATAAAAGCCCTGGGGTCAAAATTGGCCCCCGCCCCGGGGGGTCATTGATTTTACCTATATGCATATAGTAAAAACTTAAAAAATCTTCTTTTAAAGAACCCAATGAGCTAGAGCTTAGATGTTTAGCATGAAACATCTTCTTATTGGTGTCTACCAAGTTTGTGCAAATAAAAGCCCTTAGGTTAAAATTGGCCCTGTAATGTTGGGGGGGGGGTGGGGTGGGGGGCCTATATACAGGTGAGCGACCTCAGGGCCATCATGGCCCTCTTGTTTTGTAATAGAAACAAATAGATAAATTAATCGTTAGCTTCATTACAGTTATTTTTTCAAGTTGTTTTCGCTGCCGCAAAAATATATACAAAAGACATCTAATATAAGAGGCGGATTGTATACTGTTACCAAAATTGATTTAAAAAGATTAAAGGGCTTTTTTCAGCAGAAATAATTAATTCAGCGGATGCACCTTTGGATTAAATGAGAGTAAATTTCACTTCATTAAATATGTTTGTTTATATTTTTCATTGTATTTATATATTCATTTTATTTTATTGATTTCATTTTTTATTTTATGTGTTTTTTTTTTTTGCTAATGGGAATGGTCGTTACCAGTGCCCCATTGGAGCCTCTTTGAAAATACTGTATTGATATATACAAGGTGCGAAAGAAACTCGACCGATATATAACAGTCGAGTTTTTTTCCTATATGAATCAATAAAATTCAAAGCACAGAAGGCGCTGAATTTGTTTGGGTCTCAGAATGTAAGAAAGGTGCAGGTTGTGAGATTATATGTATAGTGCCACCAATGCTTTCCAGCGTTTTAATTCTGGTAAATTGGCTATAAGACTAATTGCAACACTGATATTCAATCCAATGTTTATTTGACTTTAACAATTTGAAAAAAAATGAGTTACCTTTACTGGGATTTGAACTCCAGACCTCTCGCTTCCTAAGCGAGCCCGAAAACCCTTCAGCCACGGTGAATTTATATGTGAACGGGCTGAATAAAACTATATTATTCTAAATTAGGGCTTGTAACGACTTTAACTGTTGTTTAACACAGATGTAAATAATCCTGGAGCCTACTATAAGCATTTATATTTATAAAGAATCAAAGGGCTGCAAGTTCTGTGGTATTTTCTGATCTTTGCAATCTAAATCGTACTGTATATCTGTATGCATTTTCCTGTATAGGTTTATTTTTATGTATTATAATTCATTTTGCAAGGCACCAGAGTTTGATACATACGGAATTCTGCATAACTAGAGTTGCATCAAAAAATCATTTATGTTCATTTTTTACGACAGTCACACTTTATCCTTGCATATCATGGCTACTTCCTTAACAAAAACACTTAAAAAAGAATTTAACAAAAAAAAAAGTTTCCTCGACTGGGATTCGAACTCGAGACCTCTCACTCACTAAGCGAGCGCATTACCACTGTACCACGGAGAAGTTATACACAGAGAGTCTGAATAATATCAAGTCATTCTAAATTTAGAACTTCCATTGCATTTCGGATTAGTAATCCTTATTAATTTCGAGGTATTTTGTTCAGGGTAAACCTGTTGTTTAAAATTGAAGTAAATATTTTAGCGAACATCCTCTTGCACAAACAGTCCGACATGTAGAATCTATATATTCCACTACTAGGTTTGTGTAGTATTCGGTAATAAATAGTATTTTCATTGATAAATTCATATTCATCCGCGTAATTTGTGATTGTGCATTTATTGACAATTCTATAAGCCAACGCTATTGTTTAACTTTAAATGCGTTGTAATTTGTTGGATACTTGTAACAAAATAAAATATTTCTTTCTTTTAAATCGCTAGTTTTAAGCTGTTTTGAGAACTAATTGTTGTTAGGTTTGTCGTAAACTTCTGTGTCAGAGATTGAATGTCCGCTTTGTATTTAGTTATTTTCGATCAGAAAATACAATAAAACAATATTAGAAATCTTCGACCATTCGGGAATTACTTTGCTTGAAAATTGATGCGCCTGTCTTTGAACATCTTTACGCAGTGATCTCCCCTGAATTTGTTGGCTTTATTGTACATACAAAAGGGAAGTAACCGCTTCAAAAAAGTGGACTACTTTCGGCATTTGCAATTAACAACATTAGACTCTGAAATTTCGCTACCATTATTTGTTTGGTCTGACGACCCAAACAAATAAAAACTGTACTGTTATATGTCAATACAGTTTTGAAATGCTCATTGAAGTGTACTGAGTATAATGGGTTATAAGAACAAAGGAAAAGTTCCAAACCATGCGATAAATATATTTAGTGCTCTTTGTTTCTACAACATTACAGCTTTGTAACAATGAAACATGATGTTGTTTTTTCCTCCTTTTGTGTTTACTGAACCTGAAAGATTTACTCATTTGTTTATCTTGCTTTTTGACAATAATGAATCCTCACTAATAAGCAGCTAGTTACATTACATTGGGTGTACGTTATATTTCTAGGTAACCAAACATACTTGATACAAAGGTTATAACGAATAGACATCGTGATTTATATTTAATTTATAGGCCCAAAAAATGGAAATTGCTTACGCCAGTTTCGGATTGGGGCCGTGAGTAACATGCCCTATTCTAGTGAAAGTAATCAGACTGTTTATTTATTTATGTGCCTTGAGATACCGTG